TGGACGATAGATGTGTTTGTGCATATTCAATTGTGCACATTTCTGGATTTGGATTGTGTACATTGCATTTACCAGACCTGTGTTGCAAGCCTTGCAAATAAGGAAATGCTCAAGACAAACTGTGCATTGTAATGGCAACACAATACTTTGCCCAAAGCCATTACATCCACTGAAATTCCTCTTCCTACCTAGCAGTGGTTCTCAACCTTCCTAATGCCACGACCCATTAACATAGTCCATCATGTTGTGGTGACCCCCAACCATACAATTATTTTCGTTGCTACTGTAATTTCGCTACTGTTAAGAAGCACAATGTAAATATCTGATATGTAGGATGTATTTTCAATTACTGGACCACATTGGGCACAAATACTCGATATGCCCAAATTTGAATACTGGTGGGGTTGGGGGGGGGGGGGGGGGGGGGGGGGTGGATTGATTTTGTCATTTGGAAGTTGTAGTTGTTGGGATTTATAGTTCACCTACAATCACAGAGCATTCTGAACTCCACCAATGATGAAATTGAACCAAACTTGGCACACAGAACTCCCATGACCAGCAGCAAATACTGGAAAGGTTAGGAGGGCATTGACCTTGAGTTTTGGAGTTGTAGTTCACCTACATTCAGAGAGCACTGTGGACTCAAACAATTATGGCATTGACATTACTTTAACCATCGTGGTTCAATGCTCTTTAGTGCTGGGTGCTGCGGTTTTTCAGGATCTTTAGTCTTCTCTGCCGAAAAATGTTGCTGCCTTACTAAACTACATCTCCCAGGATTTCATAGCATTGAGCCATGGCAGGTGTAGTGGAGTCAAACTGCATTAGTGGTACAGTTTAGACTTAATGTGTTACCCTTACTATCCATCTATTTGAATGACCTAGGTTGTCTTACAGCAAGTTCTCAATCTTCCTAATGCCGTGACTCCTTAATACCATTCCTCGTGTTGTGGTGTCCCCCAACCATAAAATTATTTTCTTTGCTACTCCACAACTGTAATTTTTCTACTGTTATGAATCGTAATGTAAATATCTGACATACAGGATGTATTTTCATTCATTGGACTAAATTTGGCACAAACACCCAAAACACCCAAAATTGTTTTGGGTTGGGAAGTGGATTGATTTTGTCATTTGGGAGTTGTAGTTGTTGGGATTTATAGTTCACCTACAATCACAGAGCATTCTGAACTCCACCAATGATGGAATTAAACCAAACTTGGCACACAGAACTCCCACGACCAGCAGCAAATACTGGAAGGGTTAGGAGGGCATTGACCTTGAGTTTTGGAGTTGTAGTTCACTTACATTCAGAGAGCACTGTGGACTCAAACAATGATGGACCTGGACCAAATTTGGCAGGAATGCTCAATATGCCGAAATGTAAACACTGGTGGAGTTTGGGGGAAATAGACATGACATTTGGGAGTTGTAGTTGCTGGGGTTTATTGTTCACCTACAATCAAAGAACATTCTGAACTCCACCAATGATGGAATTGAAGCAAACTTGGCACACAGAACTCCCATGACCAACAGAAAATACTAGAAGGGTTTAGTGAGCACTGACCTTGAGTTTTGGAGTAGTAGTTCACCTACATCCAGAGAGCACTGTGGACTCTCTGGATTGATCTGGACCAAACTTGACACAGATACTCAATATGCCCTAATGCAGTGGTTCTCAACCTGTGGGTCCCCAGATGTTTTGGCCTCCAACTCCCAGAAATCCTAACAGCTGGTAAACTGGCTGAAATTTCTGGTAGTTGTAGGCCAAAACATCTGGCGACCCACAGGTTGAGAACCACTGCCCTAATGTGAACACTGGTGGAGTTTGGAGAAAATAGATTTTGACATTTGAGAGCTGTAGTTGCTGTAGTTGTACAAGTAGATTGTAGTTGTACAATCAAAGAGCATTCTGAACTCCACCAATGATAGAATTGTGCCAAACCTCCCACAAAGAACCCTCATGACCAACAGACAATCCTGTGTTTTCTGATGGTCTTTGGTGACCCTTCTGACACCCCCTGGTGACTCCCCTCCCAGGGGTCTCAACACCCAGGTTGAGAAACACTGATATAGTGTTTTTTTTAATTTAATGTCTTCAGATATATTACTTCCAAAGAAAGGAGGGGACCAGCACAGTAGGAACCATCACGGTGAAATCTCAGAAGGAACTTCTTTGTGCATCCATTGACGGCACACACATAACACTCAAACAAAGAATGAAAGTGCCCAGCAGCAACAAGAGCCATCTATTGCAGAGGACAAGCTTTTCACATATTATGCACAACAATTTCAGACCCTGAGGGGGAAAGGGTAACAAAGCAGGCCTGGCTCAGAATTGACACCATGATGTCATTCTTGGAAATCGTAGCTCCGGGGAGAATATGTCCAGGGAATGACATCATTCAAGATGGCAGCCCCATTGGCTCCAAGGCAAAGATCTCCAATCTCTAAGAGCCTGGTGAAAATCTGGCCCTTGCCTGAGCACACTATGCCATTTAACATATTTGATCTGTAGCAACAGAGATAGTCGGCAACTTGCGGGAGCTGCAAAAAGTGAGTAGCTGCAGATCTGTCATTGTCATAAAGGGGTTCAACCCTTCTTTGTGAAGATGCTTATTCGCATATTCTTTTGGTGTGTATATGTACGCCACTAATAGTGTGGAATAGATGAACAATGGAAAGCATCCTTCATCCCCAAAAGGATAACAGCATTCTTGATCACAAAGGAAGCCTTCTCACAGGCAAATATGGCACCGTTCTTGGACTCCGGAGTCACAGAAAAAGGAATGCACAATAGTACCACACTTGCACTCCATCCACTGGCAATGCTGCACTGGTTCACTATTCCAACCAATGGCTATTTCCAACACTGGTTTCTCTGTGCACGAGCCATTCACACCCACTTCTTGCCTCCGTAATGCTCTCTTACACGACAGACACTCCTTCCCTTGGGGGCAAACCCAATGCCATCCCTTCGGAGCTGCCAGAGACACACCTTACAGACACACTGAACACATTCGCCCCAGACAAAGGGACACACCCTGCAGTCACACCGGTAAATATCTCACATTGGTGAAAGTCCCATGTGTGTCAGTCTTTAAAAACAATTCTTAAAAAGCCACAGGTATCAGAAGCATCTCTGTTCGGAACATAAATTGCTTTTATTGTTGCAGAAATGGTTTTGGGGATTTTTAAACACAGTGATCGCTCAAAGAGCATTCTTCGGCACAGGATCTTATCTCATCTCCCTCTTTCCTCACCTCAATAATCTTGGGAGCATTTAAGGAAATCTGCATTTGCTTCCATGCGCCCTTGGCAAGAGCCGGTGACTGTGCAATACTGTGCAGACTGAGTCACCCTTTTGCGGAGCGGCAATTCGAGCCAATATTGTGCTGCTACATAACAGAAGACGCATACGGTGCACATTGCTCACACTCCATAGACACAGCTGCACCCCGACACACCCAGAGTGCAGTAATCTTTTTTTAAAAGCCCGAGCTCTCCAACACATGGATGCGCGTTCACGCCCGTCCTTACCGAAGCCCCAGACACACCCCCTTCTATACAAAGCGCAGGGATGCATTCAGTGCAAAGCATCAGAAACGATATTTCAGACAGGCTCTCAGAGGGAAGCGAAAACCCCCAGCCTTTGTATGTCCATCGGTTCAATGCACAAATGTATTGATGGACAGGCATTGCCGATAACCATGCTTCTGAATATACAGAGCGAGAGAACTGGCATCTTATATATTATATATGCATAGATAGAATCTTCAAGACAGTGGACCTAAATGGGGTTTTGCCCCAGGGTAAGAAAGCTTGTATATAAATCATTCTTAATGCAGTCGCAAGGCATGTCCCTATGGGCCGACTAAGCAGACAGTCCCCCATCCACCGGCAGGTCCATTTCTACAAAGAGGCAGAATAAATTGACCACCCGGCATGCGCAGTCCGGATATATGACAACACACTCCCACACCCAGGCGCTTCATTTCAAACACACTCACCCATGCAGATAGAAACCTGGAGGTGAACACACCCACCATCTGCACAGCATTTGTGCCTCTTTGCAATGGGGGATATTCACCCGGGTTGCCATTAAGGCATTATGGGCACACACCCACAATTGCCTTCCCACAATTTGGTGTATATTCTGTTGTGAGCTTGTTTCCTTTCTGCCTTTTATTGTATTGTCGAAGGCTTTCATAGCTGGAATCACTGGGTTGTTGTGAGTTTTCCAGGCAGTATGGCTATGTTCCAGAAGCATTCTCTCCTGACGTTTCACCCACATCAATGACATGCATCCTCAGAGGTTGTGAGGTCTATTGAAAACTAGGAAAATTGGGCTTATATACCTGTGGAATAGTGTCCAGGGTGGGAGAAAGAACTCTTATTTGTTGGAGGTAAGTATGAATGTTTAATTGGCCACCTTGATTAGCATTTAATGGCCTAGCAGTTTCAAGGGCTGGCTTCTTACTGCCTGGGCGAATCCTTTGTTGGGTGGTGAGAAGGCAGGAATGTCCCACTCTGGACATTCCACAGATATATAAACCCTATTTTCCTAGTTTCCAGCAGATCTCACAACCTCTGAGGATGCCTGCCGTAGATGCAGGCAAAATGCCAGGAGATAATGCTTCTGGAACATGGCCATACAGCCCGGAAAATTCACAACAACCCACATGATTTATTTGCAGGAAATTCCACATCCAGTCTCTGATATTTTCCATAAATATCAGTGAAGAATTTAATCTAAATCTTCCTCTGAGGTCCATTGTTCATACTCCCAACTTCCCTTATCTAGATGGATCAAGAATATAAGAAACTCCAATTTATGAATGAACTCTAATGCTGTGGGAGGTGAATCAATGGGTATAGTATACTCTCCACTGACATTCATGCACCCTAACCTGAGGCATGCTCAGCTCATAATGCGTGAAGCATCAAGGCTTGCAGTGTTCTCCACCCTCCATGCACCAGCATCGCTTGCAGCTCATTACCTTCCTCCAGCTCATCCATGCTCCCAATCTTCCTGTTGCCATCGATGGTGTAAATGTAGCGCACTCCCTGAGGCAGGTTAATGTTATCGGACAGGGACCGGGTCAGGTCGGCCAGCAAGGCGTCGAAGCTCCGGAAACGGTCTCCAGAGACGGCGTACACAATGCCCTTGAAGTAGCGGTCCCCATTGCGATAGAAGCGCACCTTCTTGGCTTTCTTCTCGTTGCTCAGGGCTTGTAAGGTCCGGGTGCGGTAGAAGCTGCAGTGGGCACTGTGAGTGGGGCTCGGCAGGCCGTTCATCCGGGAGCCTCGCATGTTTCTGGACGCCTTGTCTCTTTCGTCAAAGTGTCCAAAATCAAGTTCCATAGCTCGGTGAGCCCTGAAGTTGTGAAGCTGGGAGGTGGAGGAGGAAAGAGTGCAAAGGAAACAAAATATAGTGAGCCAATTTACGAGCTAGAAAGAGGAAAACACTGTTAACAGCAGATCTTCAAGCTAAACTTTGTGCTTTCCAATAAAACAAAGCCTTGCCCAATGTCTTACTTTGCTTGGATTGATGCCACAAAGGGCTTCCCCCTCCTCTGTGTATTTTTGGGAGTAAGGCACAGGGAATGGGAGGGTCCTATCTCAACAACACAATTGACTGAATGATACACAACCTGGAACCAAAGGATTTCTATCTCTGGCTCAACCTTGGGTTTCTAATAATAGGAGAATGTGATGGAGAGGTTTGTGGGCGTCACTTCAGGATGCATGCCAGCTACAAACAGTTTGAACTGAATGAAGTTCCCCGCAGTTTAGATGCAAAACTTCCCTTCAGCGGTAGATGGATAGAACCAACAATGAAGAGAGGAATCCCACCTTCCAAAGACTTCAGAACCTGTGCTCGGGTATCAAACCTATCCAGATGCTGATGGAGAGAGAGCCTGAGCCAAAGGGACCTTTCAAATGGGGAATCAAACTGGAATGGCTGATGGCTGGACAGAGATACGGCAACAATGCTGTATCCTTTCTGAGTGTCTGAAAGCCAGAAGAGCAGTCATATCTCACTTACTCACATCTCCAGAGTCACCACTCCCTATGAAAACCCTTGATATCCTAGACATTCAGACAAAAAGTATGGGGCGGGGACCGTATTCAAGAGCAGTGGGTGAGTTGATATGAAATTATATTGACACCAGATGTCATTCAATTGGAGAATATGGTTACTTCTCCCTGCACCCTTCCTTTTCCTGTTAATGAAGTGTATTTTAATTGCTGAAGGTGTCTGACAGATGCAGTCTCATCACGCCACCGCAAGAGCACCTTTCATTGTTCAGTGCTCTGAGCGCACGCTTAGTGGAATTGGGAAAGCGCCTTAGTTCAGTGTGCGGATAGTGTGGAAGAGGGGAGTGACAGGGATCATCTCAGGCATGAGCTAGAGATGCAAAGGATCCCATCCCCTCCAAAGGGATCCCACGAAACCCATGAGCCCGATCACTCTTGGCTGTCCAAGGCTATTAGCATGCAACTCACATCTGCTCATCGCAGCTTCGCACAGCTGAAATGGGATTAAAAACCTCAAGGCTGGGTGATCAGGTACAAATCCTGAGAAAAGCTGTTGCTTGCCTTCTGCCAGAGTCTCTGCCTTCCTTTTCGAGGAGTCACGGTGACCTGTCCCTGACCTTCACTCCTGTAATGCAGGGAAGGGAGCTTTCCATTGCTTTTCCTTCATCAGAGTTGCCAAAAAAATCATCCCCACCCAAACCCAGCACTACTTCGCTGCTCTCTAAACATCACACTGGAAACAATGGGAGCTCAATGCAACTTTGAAAAACCAGAGCTTTGGATGGGGCGTGGACCTCCTTCATCTCCAGACTGACTCTCTCTTTCCTTCCCCTGCCTTTGGCATCCCAGCTCTACTGCTTTCTCTGCCTGGAAAGGCTTCCGAGGAATACTTACCGGTTTTCAGCTCTTGCAGGGTGGAGATGCTGAGAGAGAGAAAGCCAGCCACACTCTGCCTTTGTTGTCTGAGCTCCAAGCAAGAAATTCCTGCCAGATTTGCCGGGACTCCTCCTAGGTCCTAGTGCCTTGTGTTTGCAGACACACACTGACACACACACACACCCAGGGCCCCTTCTGCAAAGGGTGATCTGGCCTCAGCGAGCTTTGCCGTCAGAATGGATTGCCATTGGAAGGCACTCTCACTCTAGATTTTCAAGAAATGCAGCACCCCTTTGGATTGGGGTTCCTCAAATGGCCACAGAGAGGTGAATGAGCTCCAGTTCGGGGGGCATTGTTCACTGTTTTATTCCCAAATTTCCCAAGAGCGGTACCATCATGATTCTCCAGTGCCAGCTAGAAAGAGCCGGTGACTGCTTGGTGCCACGGCATGGTCACTCAGTCTGTGAAGGTGTGGCAAGTGGAGAAAGTTCCATTCTTGACTCCGGCCCAAATCAGCTCCTTTGCGGACAAAGCAAATCAAAGAAGAGGGTGAGCAAGTTGTGATGTTGCCTGGACCTCTCTGGTTTGTGCTCACACAACAAACTGGACTGTCATCCCCAACATACGGAGATGAGACAGTTTGCTGGCTTTCGCCAAGGACCCCAAGTTTATGGCTCTGCAGATGCATGACATCACCAGCCAACGCCAATCCCCAGCGAGAGCAACGGTCTGGGCTCCTTGCCAACAGCAGCACCAGTCTTCAGAGCAGCAGCGACCGTCAGTTGTGTTTGGACTGCAGCACCCATCAGCCCTAGGCCACAGAGCCCTCAATGAGGGACAGTGGAGACTGAAGTCCAGCCACGTCTGGAGGACAGAGCATTGGTTGTTGCTGATCACTTCACCGCAATTCAAAGCTGTGAATGTGAGGTTGAGAAAAATAAATAATAACAGTGAAGGTGAAGTAAATGCATAGCATGTATATTATCATCATCGAGGCTGCATTGATAGGAGGATAGTTTCTGGATCAAAGAAAGGAATACAGTTTTTTTTTTGTCGTGTTAGAAACTGCAAGTTGCTTCTGGTGTGAGAAAATTGGCTGTCTGCAAGGACTTTGCCAAGGGGATGCCCAGATGTTTTGATGTTTTACCATCCTTGTGGGAGGCTTCTCTCATGTCCCCATATGAGGAGCTGGAGCTGACAGCGGGAGTTCATCCGCGCTCTCCCCGGATTCGAACCTGTGACCTGTCGGTCTTCAGTCCTGCTGGCACAGGGGTTTAACCCACTGCGCCACCGGGGGCTCCAGGAATACAGAAATGCCACTTTATTCTGTTTAGGCCACCTTGAATATTGCATCCAGGTCTGGGCACCATAATTCAAGAAGGAGATGGACAAGCTGGAAGGTTGTCCAAAGAGGTCAAAGGTCTGGAAACCAGGAATTAGAGAGTTGGGTATGTTTAGCTTGGAGAAGAAATGGCGAAGAAGGGACATGATTTGTTGTTCATTCGTTCAGTCGCTTCCGACGCTTCGTGACCTCATGAACAAGGGACATGATAGCCTCGTGTTAAAAGGCTGACACATGTGACCTTCTTGTGTTAAAACAGTCATAGGCCAACTTGGGTCCTCCAGGTGTTTTGGACTTCAACTCCCACAATTCTTAACAGCCTCAGGCCATTTCCTTCCCCCCTCAGTCGCCTCAACTTAAGCCGCTGAGGGGCGAAAGGAAGGGCCTGAGGCTGTTAGGAACGCTGGGAGTTGAAGTCCAAAACACCTGGAGGGCCCAAGTTGGCCATTACCTGTTTTAACACAACAAGGTCACATGGAAGATGTGTTCTCCATCGCTTCAGAGACTACGATACAGAACAATAGCTTTAAATTGCAGGAAAAGAGATTCCATCCAAACAAAAGGGGGGGGGGGGAATCATGCAGTAAGAGCTTTTGATAGTGGGTTCCACTGATGATTTGGAGTCTGGTGGAGTTCACTTCTCTGGAGCCTAGATGGATTCTGCCAGGAGTGTTCGGATTCTGTATTCTTTAATGCATTGGTTCCCAACCTGAGGTTCGTGGACCACCAGTGGTCCGAGAGAACTAAAATATGGACCGTGGACGAATTTCAATGAATGCGACTGGTCTTGCAAAATCCTCTTATAGCGCTGAGGCTTATTAAATATGGTTTTCTGTGAGTGAGCAGTGGTTTCCAATCTGTGGTCCGTAAGAACTAAAATATGGTCCGTGGACGAATTTCCCTCTGCTGTTTTGCTGTTTTAATTTTAGATTTTTTAAATACTGGTAGCCAGATTTTCCAGAGGGAAAACAATCAGGGAGATCTAATCACCTCTCAACAAAAGTTTGCTCCAGGCACTTCCAGGCTATCAAATGCTAATCAAGGTGGTCAATTGAAACATTAACACCTAGCTCCAGCAGGCAAGTCCTTTGTCCCACCCTGGTCTTTCCACAGATATATAAACCCACTTTCCTAGTTCCAACAGACCTCACTACCTCTGAGGATGCTTGCCATAGGTGCAGGCGAAACGTCAGGAGAGAATGCCTCTAGAACATGGCCGTATAGCCCGAAAAAACCTACAACTACCCAGTGATTCCAGCCATGAAAGTCTTCGACAATACATTGATTCATAACCCTTTTGGTACTAATGTTGGAGAGTGGTCCCTGGTCAAGTGGCCTCTTGTCCAAATGGACCCTGGTTAAAAAAATGGTTGGGGAACCACTGCTTTACTGGCAGAAGGGGGTTAGATTGAATGACCCTAGAAGTCTCTTCCAACTTTATGAGTCTACAATGCTATGATTATTGCTAACAGGCCTCCCTTCCCAGGAGACTCTGGCAAAAACAAACTGCTGCATCCCCTCTTAGCTTGGGTGTTCGTCCCAGTGTTCAACCTGAATAAGCAAATACATTTGTCCTAGGGTTAACCAGGATTGGGTGGATACAAAATCCCTAGCTGGACCAACTCCTGCCTGATGCTTTCTGGGATGCTACCAGCCACCCTTGGAGATGTGGCTCCCCTTGATTACATCCTTTTCTGCCGGCTGTGCGGGTGGACGATGGGGAGGCACAGGGAGCCAAGCAGCTTTTGTGAAGCCATCAACTTAATCATTTCCGACACGGTTAGCAACAGAGTCTCTGGCAGCGCATCCATTTTCCTCCCCATCAATAAATTCATTTAGATAAAGAGGTATGTTAAATATAGCTCCTTGGATTCAATTACCTGGCCTAAATGAAGGAAGCGCTCTATCCTCCGAGCAGTAGCAAAGAGACGCTCTTTTTCCCTGAGCAATTATATTTGAGTAAAGAGAGAGCCGCTTTCCCCCTTGAAAAGAGGACTGCTTTATTTAGGGGGTGGGGTCTGCACAGAGAGAGCTGGTAATGGTAAATGACCACTGGTTAAATTTCATGGGAGACAGAAACAATACATGGTAGTCTTAAAATGCAACTACCTGGCAGAGTTATTACAGGGTTGCTATGACTTTTCTGGGCTGTATGACCATGTTCTAGAAGCATTTTCTCCTGACGTTTCACCCACATCCATATCAGGCATCCTCAGAGGTTGTGAGCTTTTGTGAGGCATCCTCACAACCTCTGAGGATGCCTGCCATAGGTGTGGGTGAAACGTCAGGAGAAAATGCTTCTAGAACATGGTCATACAGCCCAAAAAACTCCCAGCAACCCAGTGATTCCGATCACGAAAGACTTCGACAACACAGAATTATTACAGTTTGACATCACTTTAACCCAGTGTTTCTCAACCTTCCTAATGCCGTGACCCCTTAATACAGTTCCTCATGTTTTGGTGACCCCCAACCATAAAATTACTTTTGTTGCTACTTTGTAACTGTAATGTTGCTACTGTTATGAATTATAATGTAAATATCTGATATGCAGGGTGTATTTTCATTCTCTGGACCAAATTTGGCACAAATACCTGATAAGCCCACATTAGAATACTGGTGGGTTTGGGGGGGGGGGGATTTATTGATTTTTTTCATTTGAAAGTTGTAGTCGCTGGGATTTATAGTTCACCTACAATCAAAGAGCATTCTGTACTCCACCATCGATGGAATTAAACTTGGCACACAGAATTCCCATGACCAACAGAAAATACTGGAAAGATTTGATGGGTGTAGACCTTGAGTTTGGGAGTTGTAATTCACCTACATCCAGAGAGCACAAACAATGATGGATCTGGACCAAATTTGGCACAGATGCTCAATATGCCCAAATGTGAACACTGGTGGAGTTTGGGAAAAGTAGACCTTGACATTTGGGAGTTGTAGTTGCAGGGATTTATAATTCACTTAAATCAAAGAGCATTCTGAACATCACCAACGATAGAATTGGGACAAACCTCCCACACAGAACCCCCATGACTAACAGAAAATACTGTTTTTTCATGGTCTTTGGTGACCCCTCTTAAGCCCCTCCACACCCCCCCCCCCCCCCCCCCCCCCCCCCCCCATGACCCCTCTGGGGGTCCCGACCCTCAGGTTGAGAACTACTGCTTTAACCATTTTGGTTCAATGCTCTTTAGTGCTGGGTGCTGCAGTTTTGCAGGATCTTTAGCCTTCTCTACTAAAAAATGTTGCTATCTCAATAAACTACATCTCCCAGGATTTCATAGCATTGAGCCATGGCAGGAGAAGTGGAATCAAACTGTATTAGTGGTACAGTTTAGATTCCTCCTTAGGCTTAATGTGTTACCCTTCCTATCCATCTATTTGAATGACCTAGGTTGTCTTACAGCAGTGGTCTCAATCTTCCTAATGCCGTGACTCCTTAATACCATTCCCCATGTTGTGGTGTCCCCCAACCATAAAATAATTTTCTTTGCTACTCCACAACTGCAATTTTGCTACTGTTATGAATTGTAATGTAAATATCTGACATACAGGATGCATTTTCATTCACTGGACCAAATTTGGCACAAACACCTGATACATCCAAAATTAATTTGGGTTGGGGAGGGGATTGATTTTGTCATTTGGGAGTTGTAGTTGCTGGGATTTATAGTTCACCTACAATCACAGAGCATTTTGGACTCCGCCAACGATGGAATTGAACCAAACTTAGCACACAGAACTCCCAGGACCAACAGAAAATACTGTAAGGGTTTGGTGGGCATTGACCTAGAGTTTTAGAGTTGTAGTTCACCTACATCCAGAGAGCACTGTGGACTCAAACAATGATGGATCTGGACCAAACTAGGAACAAATGCTCAATATGCCCAGATATTAAGACCGGTGGAGTTTGGGGAAAATAGACCTTGACATTTGGGAGTTGTAATTGCTGGGATTTATAGTTCACCTGCATTCAAAGAGCATTCTGAAACCAGCCCATAATGAATCTTCCCCAAACTTGGCACACTATCTACATGGTCAACACTGCTTGTTTTCTGCTGCCCTGGAAACTAGGATGCGGAACAAATGGCTTCAAACTACAAGAAAGGAGATTCCATCTGAACATTAGGAAGAACTTCCTGACTGTGAGAGCCGTTCAGC